TGTGAAATGAGGCTGGAAAGGAAAATAGAGTCAGATTAGGGAGGGCCTTGAATGCCAGGCTAATGAGTTTGTATTTTGTCATGTAGGTGATAAAGGAGCCACTGAAGGATTCTGAAACAGGGTTGTGACATGGGTAGACCTTTTATGCCTATGCCTGTACCTGTGCCTATGCCTTAGGAAGATTATTTGGCAGCTGTGAGAAGGATGAATTGGAGAATGGTAGGGAGACTGAAAGGGGACCAGTTAAGAAAAGGGAAAACTTAAGGATCACCTTCTACATGAAGTTTTGAAGGAAACAGATTCTCAAGAGGTGAAGAGGGAGAGTATTCCAGGCATGAGGAACAGCCAATGCAAAGGCATGGGGATGGGACATGGAGTATTATATGTGGGAACCAGCAAGAAGAATAGTCTGATTGGATGATCTTGCACAGGGTGACATAGAATAATGAAAGCAGGGCTGGAAAGGAATGAAAGTGTATCCTGTAAGAGGTGAGGATCAGATGGCATAGAAAAGTCAAGAAAATAAAAATGAGAAAAGGCCATTTGATTTGATGATGAAGAAGTCATTGGTGACTTTGGAAAGAATAATTTCTGTTGAGTGGTGGGGAGGGAAGACAAAGAATAACACGCTTCCTCTGGGTGCAGGGCTCACCCTGGGCCTTGGGAGAGACACCGAGTCTAGACAAGGCATGCTCTCTGTCCTTAGGGAGTACAGGGTCTTGGATAGGGAGCAAACAGATACAGATAGCTTTGATATACACCATTAAATAACTGAATTAGAGAGGTTCAAACAATTGATATCTCAGGCCTGAGGGGACAAGCTACTTGAAGGAGATGGCTTTTAAGTGAAGATTTAAATGATGGGTAAGAATTCACTTGGTGAAGAGAGGAAAGGAAGGCATTCCTGGCATAGGGAACTGCCTGAGCAGATGTGCAGGGGCTGGATAGCATGTGGGTTCGGGGGTAAAGGGTCTAGTTTGACTGGATCATAAAGGTTGGAGAAAGGAGCATAAATATTGCAATGGTCAGGTGATGCCATGTTGTAGAGGCACTGGAATGCCACATATAGGTGTTTGAACTGAACTCATTAGTCAGTAGGATGCAACTGAAGGTTTTTGAAGGTAAGAGTGATGTGGTCATGCCTGTACATTAGGAAGATTATTTTGATAGTGTGTGAAAGGTGGCTTGAAGTTGACGGAGATCATAGGACGGAACAAGAGCTGTTAGAAAACCATGGCAGCTTCCAGGATTTGGGAAGGTCACTTTCCCAGGGGTTCCTAAGGTCTAAGCTGTTCCATAAGCTCTGGCTAGGCAGGAAGAGGTGATTACCTGAGCCAAGAAAGATTGGGTCAGTCACTGGGCAGAGGACCTGCCCATTAGAAAGCCAGAGCCTGCCTTTCAGAGTGGGAAGGCAAGGGCTCCAACAGGGTGAACAACCTTTGAAAAGGGAAAGGGATCAATGGAACCTAAGTCAACATTTGGGGCAAGATGGTGCCACCAGGTAGCAGAGCCCTGTAAGCTGCAAGTGTAGGTCTCCACAGGGCTTCTGGGTCACTGTGGGGGCATGGTGGGTTGATGATGCCACCTCAAACAGATAAGCTGGGGCTATGGGGGGTCACCCCAAAGGAGACCAGGAAGTCACGTGTCAGAGGGACAGCAGATTCCTCAGTACATGTCATGAGAAGAGACCTGAGTTCTAACATTTCCCAACTGTATGATCTTGGTGCAGGAGAAGGAGCCCTGACTGTGAAGTCACAGGACCTGGGTTCGATCCCACGTCTGATCCCTGTGTGACCTTGGGGAAGCTCCTTAATCTTTCTGAGCATGTGTCCACATCTACAGATGAAGAGGTTGGGCCAGATGATGTCAGAGGCCCCTTTCATCTCTAGATTTGTGATCCTATGACCCTTTCTAGGCTTCAGTCTCCTCTTTTGTAAAATGCAGCCAGTCATCCTCGCTCTTCCAAAAAGTACCCCAGGCATAGGAGCTCTGTAGAGAGTGGCAAAGTTAGTTAGGGGAAAGAACTAGACCTATTATTTCATTGTTATAGGAAGTTCCCAGTGTGGAAACTCCCTTTACCATCGTAGGTCATGTTTTTGGCAACTTAGAGTCTTAGAGAGTTGCCTAGAACATGGAGAGGTTAAGTAACTGAGGGTCACATGACCAACTTGTGTCAGAGGCAGGACTTGAACCCAGCTTTTACTGGCTCTGAGACTGGCTTTCTCTACCTCATGACATGCTACCTCTCTCTGATATTCATTATTTACATTATTATGCCATCAGCCCTTCCTCAGTCTGAGCCAGAAAGATCAGCTAACATCCGTCCCAGGCAAGGCTGGCCTGGGTACAGGACTTGGCTGGGCCAGTGGTGACCTCTATGTTTGGGTGTTGGATCGTGTCCAGAGCAGCGTAACCACAAGGAGGAGGAAATGAGATGCTATGCCCAAGATCAACTGAAGGAATGGGGGTGTTTGGCCTGTTGGAGAGAAGCCTTACCGGGGACATGATAGCAATCTTGAAGTATCTGTAAGTCTGTCACATGGAGGGGCATTGTTCTACTTGGCCCCAGAAGGCAGAACTACAAGTAACGGATGGGAGGAAGTTGTAAGGAAAGAGATCTCTGCTCAGTATAAGTAGAACCTCTTAAAAAAATGAGAACTATTTAAAAATAGAATAAGACTTTTGGGGAAAGTAATTATTTGTCATTGGACGTCTTCAAGCAGTTGCTGGATGGTGACTTGTTGAGGGTGGTAGTGTTACTTGGCCATGAGTTGGACTAGTTCTTCCTTAAGCACTAAGTCCATGTGGGGTCTTGGGTAGTGCCCTCTCCCACTGTGAGCCTCAGTTTCTCCCTCAGGAAGACTGGACTATAAGATCTCCAGATCCCTTCTAGCTGTGGCATTCTGTGCTTCCTTCTCCCCCAGCTTCCTGGGAAAACTCCACTGAATGGAGACAGGACTTTGTCATCCACCTCCCACACACCTTTCACCCTGAGCCCAGGAAAACCCCCAGGAAACCAGCCAAGAAGAGGCTCAATGGCCACTTCATTCCTGGGCCCCGAGGAGATAAAGGGGAGATAGCAGGCAGGAACAAGCCAGGATGGACTGAGATTGTAGATAGGTTTCATATCTGTAATTTTCCTTTAAGGAAATCATGCTGAGTGCTGAGCTGTCTCTGTTTCCCCTTTCTCCACCTCTCAGTCAGCACATCTTTGCTGACGGAAAGGCTGTTGGCCAATGTTTCCCCAAGGAGGGTGGGACTGGAGTCAGGGTGATCAGAGATGTTTTCTGGCAAGACTGGAGCTGGACCTTGAAGGACCTGAAGATTTGAAGAGAGGTAGGGAATACATCTTGATGACTCGCCCAAGGTCAAAGAGCCAGTGGTGTCAGGGCCAATATTAGAACTCTTATTCAGGGCTTTCTCCACACTAGCTGCCTCGAGCAACTGGGAGAGACCAGAGTAGTTTTCACAATGTGCTCCTCAGAAGCTCGGGGTTCCATGAGCTTGCCTGAAAGAACTTCCTAGTGGTGACAGACGGGCTTGATTCATTCTTACTTTGTTTCCCTTTGCTCCTGCTGTGGTACTGCCCTGGGGCTGGGGTCGGGTCTCAGAGGCCGGCCAACAAATGTACATGTCCTTCTTGATGACCCTTGAGTACATACCTGTAAGCTCAAGGTCACTGTGGGAAAGACAGGAGGAAGAGGAGACTAGGGATTTTGTATTTTATCCTGAGGGGTAATAGGAAGCTGCCAAAGGTTTTTTGAAGAGGGGAGTAATGAGGTCAGGCTTGTATCTTAGAAAGATTATTTTTGGTGATTGTGTGGAGGATGGATTGGAGAAGGGAAAGAGACTAGAAGCAGGGACACCATAGAGGTTATTGCCTTAGCCCAGATGAAGGATTGAGAAAGACAGGGTTAAGTGACTTGTCCAGGGTCATAGAGCTATGTGTCTGAGGCTAGATTTGAATTCATGTTTTTTTGACTCCAGGATCGTCACTCTATCCACTACACCACCTAGCTGCCCCATTGATTTAGCACCAGCTCTGTGCTAAGCTCTGTGCTAAGGCTTTATACTTCCTCTTTGCCTCTTCCCTGTAGATTCTCCAGGCTGTCTTTGAAATTTAGCTCAAGGATCATTGCCTATAGGAAGCCAGTCTTGATCATCTCCCCAGTTGATCGTGCCATCCTTCTTAGAGATTACTTTGTGTTGTATCACTTTGTGTCTATTTCGTGTATGCTTTGCTTTGCTTTTCCATGGAATTGTTCCCTTCCCATAGAATGTAAGCTCCTTGAGGGCAGGAACTGCTTTTTGTCTTTGTCTAGCACAGTGCCTGGCACAGAATAAGCATTCAATGAATGAATGTGGGGAACAGAATAGATATTCTCTAAATTTCCTTCCTGGGGGCAGCTAGGTAGCTTGGTAGATAGAGTGTGGATCATGGAGTCAGAAATACTCACCTTCCTGAGTTCAAATGTGGCTTCAGACACTAGCTGTGTGACTCTAGGCATGTCACTTCACCCTGTTTGCCTCAGTTTCCTCATCTGTAAAATGAACTAGAGAAGGAAATGGCAAACCACTCTAGTATTTTGGCCAAGAAAACCCCAAATGGGGTTACAAAGAGTCAGACACTGCTGAAACAAATGAACAACAACAAAGTTTCCTGCCAGCTCTAAATCTATGACTTTCTTCTCCAGTTATTATGTGTCTCTGTCTTCCTCAGTCTCCCCCAGTCTCCATGTGGGGAGTTGCTACAGTTATCCAGGCAGTAGATGAGGAGACTGAGACTTGGATCACAGCTAGGGGAATGGAGGCACAGACTAAGAGGGAAACTTGACAGCAAAGGTGGTGGTGTGGGGACAGCAAGGAGATTCCCATGGGGATAGGCAGGTGGGCAGAACGACCCTTCTGTTGTTCTGAGACATCATTGGAGGCTCAAGGTTATGGAACAAAGCAGGGTCACCACAAGTCCATTTGACCCATAGTATCTTTCTCTCCTATAGTCTCCCCACAGAAGAGGAGAAGTCACTGGAGTCCGAGCTTGATGCACCTTTGTCCCCCATCTCCCAGATTCCCTCCCAGCCCCCTCCACTTGCCCTCAGTGCCCCAGAAATCCCCCCGAAGCCCTCCCGCCTGCTGCCTGAGTTTGGTAAGTCTTCTGTTCCTCTGAATTCCTTATAATCATTGTTTCTTATGGTGCAGTGATTGTCCTTGACTGCTTTCCATTGGTATTGTGTGGAGCTCTAGGAATGAACTAGATGAACTTAAAGGAAATGTGGTATTTGGGGTATCCCTTAGCCTTAAAGAATTCTCCCCAAATGGCTTCTTTGCAGTTTTCCTGCAGGCGTCTCTTGTTGTCTTTCCATGTCTGCAGACACCCAACAGTTTGTGGGGGGCAAACTTAGCCTGGGGCTGATATTTCTTCTTGAACTTTGTCTGAGAAAACACTAATGATAGAAAGTTGGCATCGAGCTCAATGTTGCTTCTCCTGTAGCTTCAAAATTTGCACGAATGTTACAACTCTAGACCTGCAGTCAGATTTCTTTTCAGCTCACTGCCTGGTTTGATTCCATTAGACAGAAGCTTATTTTCCATTAGTCGCCCTATCTGGTTTCCATTGGGCCCGTAGCCTGCCTTCTGTCATGGCTGGCAAGGAGGTCTGGACCATTATTCCCTGAGTTCTAGCTGAGGGATGTTTTCCCCCATTGTGTCTTCTTTGACTGTCCAGTTAAAAGGTGTTCCTCTGTCCTGGGCCACCTGTCAGTCGTGGGAGCACAAACCCATCCCCCTGGAAGCTCCCCCACCTCACACCCACTCTCCAAGCCTTTGCAATGACAGGGATCGTATACCCTCCTAGGGCAGGCCATTCCATTGTAGGACAAATTGATATTAAGGAGTTTTCCCTTCTGTTTTGCCAAATTTCCCTCTCTGTGATTTCCCCACATTGTTCTGAGTGTTCTCTAGGGACAAACAGAATTTGCCTGTGCCTCTTTCTATATAACAGTCCTTCAAATGACTGTCATGTGCCATCTCAAGTCTTCTCTTCTCCAGACTAAAAACCCCTTGATTTCTTTTATCCAAACCTCACCTGGCCTGAGATCTAGCTCCTTCCCTATCCTGGTTCGTGTCTGGACAAGCTCTTGTTCTTGTAAATGTTCTCATCAGTTCTTCCACCAGTGGTCACTAGATGACCATAAGCCCCTGTGGCCACATGCTCCTGGCCCCACCATAGTGTCCGCATCCCAGTGGCCCTGACTAGTCTACTGTGATGGGGTATCCTTCTTTCCTTGAGCCTCCTCCCTCCTTCCCTCGCTCGCTCCCAACAGGATGTTGCTTGCTGTGACGATGCCAGGAGTGGGCTGAACACCCTCTTTCTCTCTCACACTGCCTGTTATAAATAGCATTTCCTGCCCCACTCCACTTTCATGCTAAAAGGGCAGGATGAGGATGGCTTAGGGCAATGGAGACATTTCCTAGCATCATAGGATTTAGAGTAGGGAGAGGACTTTAGGTAGCACCTCGTCCAGTCCCCTCATTTTATAGAGGAGGCAACTCAGGCCCGAAGAGAAGTGGCTTTCCTTAAAGTCAGAGCTAGGAAGTAGGACCCAGGTCCTTTGCCCCTCACTCAGTGCTCTTTTCACTAGTGTGTAGCTGCTAATTCTGGCGTCAGTAATTCTGCCCACTCCCCTGTTACTCCCCGAGACAGTACTTAGATCAGCCCTGAGTTTCCTAGACGATTTCAAAGTTCCTTGAACTCTTGCCATGGGGTCTGTTCCCTGGGTGAGGGAGCTAATGCAGCCAGACGTGGAGGGTAGGAGCCTCTTGCTGTGTGCTGGGTCCCCCTGCCCTCCAGACTTAACTCTCATGCCTCTCCTACAGACGATTCAGACTATGATGAGCTTCCTGAAGAAGGGCCACCAGCCCCAAGCCCCACCCCAGTGATGGTCAACAAGGTGGGGACTATGGGGTGGGCTTGGGTGGGCAACAGGCATCTGTCACCACGAAGGCTGAATGTGTTCTCATGAGGCTATCTTTCTGTCTTTTTTGTCTGCTTGGGGCCACATATTTGCCTGTCTGTGCATCTCCACAGAGAAAGCTGTCTCTCTCATCTATTTGTCCAATCCACAGGGCGGGAACCCTGGGAGAAAGGTGGGAGGGTCGAGTGTCTCCAGCCCTTAGTACAAGGTGAGGTGGCAGAGGATGGGGGGTGGCATAGAAGAGGGGCCACTGGTCCACAGGCGGGGTAACCACAGGACAGTATACAGCAAACATCTGAGACTCACTTGCTGTATGTAGGGCCTTCTGCCAGGATCTGGGGAAGATCCAGAATGTAGATGTAAGACACAATCCCTGCCACCTTGGAGCTCCCAGTCTGGTTGGGGGAAGGGGAAGGTGGAGCACAGGAAACATGGGAGATGTGGAAGTTGGAGGGTGCTGATCAAAAACTGAACTCCACTGTGCCTTGTGCCTCCTCACCATTAAGGAGAAAGACTGGGAAGCTTGAAGAAGCCTGTCTTGATCAGCCCAAGCCCACTTGGCAGTTTGAGCAGGACAGAGCCTTCTTCTTCTTGGATTCCTTGGGGGTGGATGGTGGAGGGCACGGGACACTGTTGATCAGCAGGGAGGAATAAACAGGGCTTCTCAATTCCTACCTAAGCTTAACTTCCAGTGGGAGTGGGGAGGAGGGCCTGTGAGACTGGACTTTGTGGGTGTACATGTGCCAGTTTGTGTCTGTGTCTGTGTGCATGGGCAGGGGGATGACGGGCAAGGTAATGTAGAGGAAGTGTGAAACTGGCCTTGGCTCTTTTGGGGGTTGGGGGGCCCGGAAGGGAGGAGCCAGGGGGCCAGGTAGAGGGGGTAGGGGAAGCCTGAGAGGGGAAGAGTCTGATCAGGGGTACCTGGTGCGGGGTAGGAGGAGCCATCCCTGCAAGATGTCCCGAGGACTGTGAGCGTGGCCAGTCTGCTGAGTGAAGGTGACGAGCTTGCGGAGGACCCTCACTGCTATGAGGACATCCCCAAGTAGGAGCCAAGATCCTCCTTCACTGGGTTCTTCCTGTTCCCATAGGGGAGTGGCATCCTCCTGGGTGCCTTCTCCATTGTCCCTCCAGTGTCCATCAGGGACTCCTCCAAATGCCCACCTCCCCTTCCCCCCTTCCCTGGGGTCCCCTCCTTCAATGGAGGAGGTTCTCCTTGCCCCTTACCTACCCTGTCCCTATGCTTTCCCCAGTGGCATATGGGATGATGTTGGTCTGAGATCCCCAAGCCTCAGCAACACCGCAGCCCCAGAGCTCCCCCTGCATCCTATGGAGGGGCCGCCCTGGACCTCAACTCCCTCCACACCTGTCATCAAGGTTGGCTGGCTGGACAAGAACCCACCTCAGGGGTGAGTGATGACCCTACAGTCCCTCCTGCTCCCCCATGCCCTACCCGGAACCCCCTTGTTCATAGTGTTTGGAGAACGTGCTCTGTCAATGAATTCTGGCTTCAAGATCTCCCATCAATAGGGCTTAGAAATTTCCTGTGGGTGATGCTTAGAGATCTCTTTTTCTTGGGCTTTGGGGCATATAGCACGGGAGGGCTTTGAGATCATCTGGCCTAGTCCCTTTCCTCCAGGAAGATCCCTTCCATCCCCTGCTGTCTCTGCTATCCCAGCCTTCCATGGGCCACGCTGTCTCCCACTCTCCCAGCCTTCCACGGGCCGCGCTGTCTCATCCTGCCTCTTGTCGTTCTCCCCCTGCCCCCCCCCCCAACCTTGGGATCTCTTCTTCAGTTGAAGGCCACCCGCCTCTGCAGGTGGATGGCAAAGCAGGCCTCCTAGGTTGTCTCAGTCTAGGTCTCCATCCCATGAAACCTATCTGTGGGTCCCTGACCATGGAGCGGTGGAGCCTGGAAGCCTGACTGCTTATGACTATCTTCTCCTAAGGCCCCACATATCTTACACTGCCAGATCCTACATCTATCAGAAGCGATGGGTCAGGCTGGACTCTGATTACCTACGGTACTTTGACAGCGACAAGGTGAGACTCCAGGAGATTCTGGACTGAGCCCTGACCCTGGCCCCTGACAACCCTGATCCCACACTGAATGTTGACCCAAGTACTGGACTGAGATCCAATTCTATCTCTATACTGAGCCCTAATCCTGGCCCCCAGTAGAACATTGATCCTAAGGTAGCTCAGTGGATAGTGTGCTGGGACTGGATGTTCTGAGTCCAAATCCAGCCTCAAACATTTCCTAGCTGTGTGACCCTGGGCAAGTCACTTCACCTCTGTCTGCCTTAGTTTCCTTAACTGTAAAATGGGGATAATGCTATCCAACCCTACACTACCTCCCAAGTCTATTGTAAGGATCAACGGAGATAATATTTGTAAAAAGCACTTAGCCCAGTGCCCGGCACGTACTAGGCACTATATAAATGCTTGTTATCAACCCTGTTGCATCCTATTCTGGTCACTACTGAAACCTGATCTTGACCCTGGAATAAGGCCTAACCTTACCTCCAGATTGAGGCTCTGCCCATACCAGAGCCCAGTTCCTTCATTAGTCCTGCAGAGAAGGAAGGGATAAAGAAAGAGAAGCTATTTTTGGGGAGCTCTAGAGGGTTGGACCTTGGGGAGCCGGATCTCTGAGTGACTTGCCTCTTGGGTCGCTCTCCTCCTCTTCCACCTCTCTCCCCTCTGATACTCTAGGATGCGTATTCCAAGCGTTTCATCCCTGTCTCCTCCATCTCTCGAGTTTCTGGCATCAGTGACCAGAAGTTTGAAGTCATCACACATAACCGGACCTTTGTCTTCCGGGCTGAGAGTGATGGTGAGACGGGATAAAGGAGGGCGAAGAAAGGGGCATTGAAAGTTAGGAAAAGTGCTCCCCCCAATCTAAAAAGGAGGCACAGCTCTGTTCCTAGCACGGCCCTCCCTGCCGTCCTACCCCAGGCTGAAGGGGACACACACCCCACATCCACAGCATGGGCATCAAAGCTGAGCTGAAGGGGCATGGGAAATTTAAAGGATGGCGAATGAAGACCTGATCAGAGCTGGGGGTTAACCCAGTAGGGGTTCCTGGCAAAAAGTGATTGTTGAGCAGGCAAGGAAAGAGCTGAGGGAAAGGGAGAGGAGGTGAGCCTGGGATCTCAGAGTTGGAGCTTCCCTTCCTCTTGCCGCATGTAGCTGAGCGGAAGGACTGGATGCAGGCCCTTCAGCAGGCGGTGGAGGAGCAGCGGGGCCGGGCCCGGCTCTCAAAGGCCAGCCCCCTGGAGCCTCACTGTCCTGGGATCCCAGACCAAGCTGGCAGCCTGGAGCTTCGAGGGGTGAAGAGCAAGCTCTATGTGGTGGTGGTCGGTGACAAGGTGCTACTGTATAAGAACTTGGAGGTGGGTGTGATTCCTGAGGAGGAGCCCAGTGGAGTAGGGGGATGGGAACCAGAATCCCCCCCTTCACCCTCATCCTCTCCTCCTATCCCCCCAGCATCCTCATCCCCTCCAATACCCTCAGCCCCGCTGCACCCTCATCCCTCCTTCTCCTATCCCAGCCCTCCCTGTCCACCCATACAACCCCCTGGATGCTGTCTTGGAACTCCATCTCTAGCCTCATCTTCTTCCCAGGAATACCAGATGGGTATAGGCATCACTTTCATTGATATGAGCGTAGGCAATGTGAAAGACTCAGATCGGAGAAGCTTTGATCTCACCACTCCTTATCGGATCTTCAGGTGAGCTCCTCTGACTCCCAGCTCTACTGTCCCCAAGACACTTGCTTTTCTCATTCTTGTCCCCCATATTTTAGCTACCTCACCCCCCCTTCAGATAATTAACCTCCCCTTATCCCTGCCTCCCAATTTTTAGGCTACTCTTCTCACCCAGTCTTGGGCTCCTCCCACCTCCATCCCAGTCCCTTTCACCACCTCAATCCTCAGATGACTCCTCTCCCCCAGTCCAGTCCCTCATACTTTAGACAACCCTACCCTCCACATCCTCCTTTCTCGAGCCATTTGTCTCCTTCAATTTTATCCCATCATCTTGGACAACCCAACAGTCTCACCTCCTCCATCCATGGCTGCTTACCTTGAACAACCTCCCCCACTTTGAACAACCAACTTTTCCAGTGCCGTCATCAGGCCATTCAGTTGTCCCACCCCTGTCCCTTCTGAGGTTGAACAAGCCCACGTGTCTTACTTTCTCCATCCTTTGCTTGTCACATCTTCCAGCCCTAAGCTCTTTTCATACCAGATGACCTCCTCCCCTTTGCCTCTGTCTTCCACAGCCCTTGGGTTGCTTACCTTTCTTCACCATGGGCCATCCTATTGGCACTGTCCCCCTTCTTCCAGGCTGCGTCCCCCATTATCTCCCTCAAGCCTTGCTCATCATCCATATCCCCTTAGTTTCTCGGCTGAGTCAGAGTCGGAGAAGGCCGAGTGGCTGGAGGCCATGCAGGGTGCCATTGCGGAGGCCCTGTCCACCATGGATGTGGCTGAGCAGATCTGGGCTGATGCCCCTAACCGACACTGCGCCGACTGTGGGGCCCCACATCCAGATTGGGCCTCCATCAACCTCTGCCTTGTGATTTGCAAGAGATGTGCAGGTATGTGACACTCAGCCATCCCGCCTCAAACATGGGAACCTGATGTGCTCTTGGGACAGCTTCCTGGAGAAGGGCAGCCTGGAAAGGGTGGCAGAATGCAGGGTGAAGAGCTCTGGCCTTGGGAGTCAAGAGACCTGGGAGTCTGACGCTTACCCTCTGTGTGACTTTGGGCAAGTCGCTACCCTGCTCTGGGCCTCAGTTTCTTTATCATTAAATGAGAATAATGATATCACAATATCTATCACTGAAGGTTGTTGTGAGGCAAGGGTTTTGTAAATGCTCATCATTCTGGGAATGACAGCGGGGATTCTTCTTGTATGATTCCGAGAATCAGAAGAAAGAGAGAAATGCCAAGAGTAAGCATGAAAATGAGTATGGGAGAGGATGTACCCTTCAGTTTGGTTGGAATATAGACTTTATGAAGGAGAGTTGTGTGAAATGAAAGTGCCAAGTGGAATAGAGCCTCAAATGCTAGGCTGAATTTGGGCAATGAGATGTGGCTAGATGGCAGTGCTTGTGAAAAAGACCAGGAGGTCTTAGTGGACCACAAGCCCCCCAGATTCCTAGTGAAGCTCAGAGGCCAGTGAGTCTAATTTTTGCCTTTGCATTCCCACTGCCTAGCTCAGTGATTGCTTGGTCCACTCCCTACTTGAGCAGGGCTTTCCTTCTACAACATTCCGTTCAATCCAATTTATCAAGCATTTCTTAAGTGTTACTTCTGTGCCAGGTGCTATGCTGGGCATTGGGGATACAAAGTCAAGTATGTCACTGCCCACAATATGCTTGCAATCTACTAGAGATTATATGTACCAATTAAATACAAAGTGCTTTCAGCGCAGGGGCCGAGGTGAGGCTACTGGTGACCAGCTGCTTCCAACTGGAAGAGCTGTCCTCTTGTGGGAGGTGCCCTTGAGCAGAGAGCCCTGAAGGATTGAGGGATCCTAAGAGAGGAAACCTGGTTTAGAGAATGGGGCACTGGAGTTAAAGTGAGGAAGACCTGGGTTCAGATCCCACCTCGGACACTTATTAGATATGTGGCTCTGGACAAATCACTTAACTGTGCCTCAGTTTCTTCATGTGTAAAATGAGGGGGTTGGACTCATTATCTCTAAGGTCCCTTCTGCCTTGAAAACTATGATCTACGTGGCAGCCACTGTGCTAGCACCCAGGCACTGGGGACCTCACTGACATTGGGGGGGGGCGCAGTACAAGATGCTCCCAAATAAGTAAATGAAAAATATATACGAGACAAAAACATCATCTTGGGAGGGCAGGGCACTAACAACAGGGGCGGTCAGGAAATCTCATAGGCATCCGCACTTGGGCTGGGCCTTGAAGGGAGTTAGGCATTCCAAAAGTTGGAGATGATAGGAGGAAGTATATCAGGCATGTCACATCCTATGCAAAAGCATGAACATGGGAGAAATAATGTCCTGTACAGTAAAGAGTCAGTTTGTATGGAGAATGCATGGGGAGAGTGGTGGGGAACAATGTGCATTTAGCCCAGAGAGATAGTTTAGAATCAGACGCAGAGCTTTAAATGCTAAACAGAGGATTGTGTTTGATCTTAAAGGCCATAGGGAGCCACTGCAGCTTTTTGAGCTGGGGAGTGACATGATCAGATCTGGGTTTAAGGAAAATCGTTTTGGCGGCTGTGTGGAGGATAGCTTGGAGTGTGGGGAGAAATTTGAGTCAGGGAGACCAGCTAGGAGGTTTTGTTTTAGTGTGGGTGAGAGGTGATGAGGCCCTGGCCTAGCTTGGGTAATGTCCTCATAAGTGGAGAGAAGAGGATGGATGTGAGATGGGTTAATCTGGAATCTATGAGATTTGGCAAAGAGTGGAAATTCATATTTGTGGACATAGTTGTGACCAGCCCTCCATAGAAATAAGGAGGTTAGGAGAGAGAATGCTGCAGGGGGAAAAACAATTAAGTTCTAGCATTGGGAAGTTTTTCCTTCTGTCCAGTTGAAAATGGCCCTTCTTGTCTAGAACCCAGGTGTCTGGACCCCCAGTTCAGAGCTCACTCCATTGGATCACACTGCTTTTCTCTCTTGCCTACCTTCTTCCTTCCCCTATTTCTCTGCCCCAATTCCCCCCAATCTACCCCTTGCCCATGTATGTGTCTCCCCCTGGGGTCAGGGCAGGATATGAGAAAGGTGGCTGCTTGTGGGGAGGGAAGCATAAGAACGGGAAGGCTCCATACCTGGTCAGCTGTGTCACTCGGCACCCCTGTATCCCTCTGTCCCCAGGGGAGCATCGATGGCTGGGGCCTTCTATCTCCAAGGTTCGGAGCTTGAAGATGGACCGGAAAGTGTGGACAGAGGATCTGATTGAGGTGAGGACGTCATTCTCTCCCTTTCCTTTCCCCAGAACTTTCTGTTTTGCAGCAGGAGGATGGACTCTTGACTGCCCTCAATTCTACACCTCCTCCAACCCCCTCCCCTCGCCCCAAGATCAAAGAACGTCCAACTCAAGAGGCAGCTGAGCCTGGAGACTCCAACAGCAGAGGAAGCCCCCTCCCTGGCCCAGCCCCCGAGAGTGACCCTCCTGGGCCTAGACAGGAATATTTGGCCGGAAATCACTGGGGTGTGTGTATCTTGGGTTGAGGAGCTGGGGTAGAGGGCTTGTTTCCAAAATCCCCGCCCTCCTCATCAGGATACAGACAGATGCTCCCCACCCCCACCCCAAGCTTTGAGAACCTCAGGAATGTAATGTTCCAGATGTTGGGTGGGGTGGAGCAGAGCTGGCAGCTGGAGGCTCCCCTATCCTTCCCTGATAAATGTCTGTCTTTCTGTTCCCTTGATGTCTATCCAGTCCCTAAATACTCACTTCTTCGTTCTATTTACTCCCTAAATGTCTGTGCATTTATCAGTCTGTTCCCTTCCTAAATATCTCTTTCCTAAATAGGTATCCATATATCCTCTCTAAATATCTGTCTTTTCTTTAAACACCTGTCTCTCTAGTTATTTGCTTTTAAAATGTCTGTCCATCCGTCCAGTTCTTGAATATTGATCTGTCTTTGCCCAAAGGGCCAAGCCCAGGGCCCAGGCTAGGACAGGAGGAAGTTTAGGTACTGACTTAAGCTAGACCCTCCCCAGGCTTTTGACTTCAGTTTCCCTTTTTGGAGAGAGGGGCATGCCGTGTCAGGAAGGGGCACTAATGCTGTCAGTGCTAGCTCCTGACCTCCCCTACCCCAAACTCTGTTTTCTCAGCTCTTCCATCATCTGGGGAATGAGGCCGGGAAGCAGTTCTGGGCAGCCAATGTCCCCCCTAGTGAAGCGTTGCACCCCAGCAGCAGCCCTGGGGACCGGCGGCACCACCTGGAGGCCAAGTACCGTGAGGGCAAGTACCGCCGTTATCACCGTTTCTTCGGCAAGCAAGAGGAGCTTGATAAGGTCAGCCTGAGCGTGTGCTCTGGGGGGCGGCATCCTTAGACAGCTGAGCCGGCTGCCTTGTACCTTTGAGCTATCCCCGCAACCACCAACTGTGCCACCCCTGGGCTGTTGGTAGCCAGAGACTGCCGGGTACCCCACTTGTGCCCTGGGGTCCCAGAGGGCAAAGGACCCTCAGAAGGTGGCCGTGCCTCAGGTTATTAGCACTGATGTCCTCATGATCATGGTGTCCCCTACCTCCTCACTGAGCTTTCCTTGAATCCTGTCTATCTGGAAGGGGTGCCCTATTCCCCACCCCTAACACCCTTCTCTCTCACCCTGCCCACCCTGACACACTTCTCTCTAGTCTCATTCTTTCTCTTTCTCCTAGAACATAATATATACCAGTGATGATGATGACGATGGTGATGATGATGATGGTGATGATGATGATGATGATGATGATGATGATGATGA